TTTAATTAAGTTTAAGGGTGAAGGGTGCCCCCAAAATTTATTTACCCAACTTTTTCAAAAAAAAAAAAAAAAAAATAAAGCAAAAAACGTATTTGCGAATTTTTTCATTTAAAAAAAAAAAAAAAAAAAAAAATCTCATTTGTCGCAGTTATCGGGACTTTTGTTTCCTGAAAACAGCGTCATCATATTTCCTTCATCTTTCCACTCAAAACAGGAAAGACTGATTTTTTAGGGCCTGGGGGTGGGGTTGAAAATTTGATAGAATGTGTTGTCATCGGCAACGAGTCTATGTGCCAAGTTTCAGTTCGATAGGTTGACGGGAAGTGGGTCACAATGAGTCGTCCGAAGATTTTGCCAGCCACAAACAAAAGCGAAGTTAATATAAAGGATTTAAACAATAGGATAACATTAATTTGTATTGTTTTAATGCTTTATGCTCATTGAAAGGATGATTTGACACGGCTAGACCTATCACTCTACTCAATCTAGATTGGTAGCTGAGACTTCTCTTACACAATGTGAGTTAGATTTATACACACATCCAAAAATTCGTTTGTTTTTTTGAACGATGTAAGTTGATGAGATTGGATGGAAAAAAAAAAAGGAGTCGTTTCCAACGTGTAGTTCAATTTGGTCAAGCATTAACGCAAATCAAGCCTACTCGCGAAAGGTTGTTGATGGGGGAGAGGTGGGCATTGGCTTATAAAGAAGATAATCTTTGTTTACAAAAAAATCGTTTTGCCATTGGTTTTCCTAGTTTTAATTAAAATATAAGCATTTCTGGTGTAAGTAGTGTTGTGCCGAATTCGTAAAAATGTTGTGCTGTTGTCGTTCGCCCTTCGCGTGCTAAGATATCAAGGGTATATACAAGTGTGAGTATAACGTGGGTGGCTGGCCAATCCTGTTTGTGCCTGGAAAGTTTTCCCTCACGGAAGACACATGTTGTTTTTGGATCCTAGTTGGATTGGAGGCTATTCTGTTTTTACTTGCCATGCGCTTTCTCTAGGCCCTAGAGGCCCTGGGCGTAACCTGTGCATTAATTCATTAATTCTCTGACTCTGAGGATTGTGCTCCAACAGTGAGCCTGACTTACCAGCTTATGAATCCATAGCAAGTGATTACCACTAATTAAGGTCGATGTACATGGATTTGAGTGAAGCTTTTAGACAGTCCTTAAAGCGTTTTTTTTTTCTGACCACCAGCTGAGCATTTCCCTCTGGAGAGTTCACCGAACATTAGTTGTTTACGAAGTATGATGTCTGGCATTCTCGCAATACGCCCTGCCCATCTGGCTTGACCTTTTTGTAGGAGCATGTGGATGCAGTTATTTTACTATTTTTCATCCTTCGCATGCGAAGATGACCAAGGCAATATTCGAATTGAGTAGCAGTCTTGACTCAAGCTGTATTTTGTTAAAGGGAAGGTGAGTTGTTCATTTCGTCAGCCACACTCTTTCCGTCCTTGCCAATTTGTTTCAATGACAAGACTTAGTCAAAACGACTGGAAAATGGGCCAGCATGCAGCGGATGACTAGCAGTGTTTCTTGTGTTTCATTTATGCGTTCCACGTTGCAGGTATTGTTGGAATTTTCATTGTGTCAATGTTATACTTCTTACGGGACTCCCTCTCCGAGTTTGATTACAGAGTTTGCCTTCTTTTAGATGAGTTGTCATCCAGGGTTAACGAGTCCCATCCACCCGGAAGCTGATAAAATCCATTAGTTGTGGGATTTCAGAATTAAGGACTTTATCCTAACACATTATGCCAAGAAGTTTATGTAAACAGCGTAGGTGGAGTTGATTTAGTTGTCTAGCATGTCTGCTGTACACTGTCCACGTCTCGCTGGCATGTAGGAAAGATTTTCATACGATTTCCCTATATAATTTCAGCTAAATGAAAAGATTGAGACCACTTCGCTCCCAGACACTCTTGCGGAGCCTTCCGAATGCAACATTTGCTTTGAAAATTCGGTTGTTGATTTCATCATCTATTGTTACTGACTTGGAGAGGGTGCTTCCCAAATATGTGAATTTTCCATTGCTTGGAGATTCTGTCCCCTTTGCTGATGTTTTGGGTTCTTTGTAAGCTTTTTTTGAGCTGGCTGGACAAGATATGTTGTTTTACTTCATACTGATGTCGAGACCGTAGTTGTCACAAGACTTAGCAAACCCATCAAGTATTTGCTGCATTTTCAGTTCCGCGCTTGCATTTAGGACAAAATCATTAGCAAATAAGACGTCTTGAATTACTATTTCCTTATCTTTCGCAATGGCTCATTAAGACTAAACAGCCCTCCGTCTGTCCTGCATCTTATAGGAATAAGAAAATTATCAGTAAGCATTGATGAGAATATCATGCGAGCGCTTGGACTAGAAAACAGCCTTGTTTTACGTCAATAGTTACAGGAAAAGCAACAAACTCATCTCAAGAATTCATCACACTGGCCATCTTAGAGTTGACGTAGTATTGCAATAAATATACTCGAGTAGCCGAACTCCTCCATAATCTTCCATACAGAGGCGTAGCGTGGTGGGGCAGGGGGAGACAGATGTCCCCGGGCGCAAGCTATTTAGGGGCGCCAAAATGTGCTTTGATAACATTTTATTGATGAAAATAATGGGTTTGAGAGTTGAAAAAAAGAAAAAGGGGCGCTAAAAATGGATCTTTCCCCGG